TTCAATTATAAATTCATATCAAAACTTGAGAAGAAATTACATATCCACATCTACACTTCTTTTTTTTAGTTGTCTTTTTTTTTTTAATTTCCGGTTAATCACTATTTTTTAATTTAGAAGGTTTGTAATTTCTATTAAGATAAAGAGACTAATCAGAATAAAAAAACCCACTTCAAATCCTCCTTTCTGCAACTAAAATATCATGTTAAAACTAAAACCTGATACAAATTTGTATGTTAAAACTAAAACCTGTGACAACTACCGCGTCTTCAATTCAACCACGTAATGCAAAAGATTTTCTACTTTCGGATTATGACTGATATAAATGATATCAAATGCTCTGTTATGTTCTGTATGTACTATGTTGTGTTCTGCAAATACTCTGTTTTATTCTATTTTCTTCCACACAACCTCCAATGTCTCCTCCACCATGTTGAAGGCCACCATCCTTTTCACTTCCCTTCCTTTCCTCACCCTCTCCACTCGCTTCTTCTCTCGTACTCGCAAACCCCTCCCCAACCCTTCCACCTTCGACGACGCCGTTTCCTTCTTCCACCGCATGCTCCATCTCCATCCCACACCCCGAATCGTCTCTTTCAACAGGATTCTCTCATCAGTCATGAAGACCAAACGCTACTCCACCGTCGTTTTCCTCTGTTCCCAGTTAGACTCAAAGGGCATCCCCAAACCCTCCCTCGTCACTCTCAGCATCTTCATAAACTCCCTTTCACACTTGGGCCAAATGGGCCTCGCGTTCTCTGTCATGGGGAAAATCATCAAAAGGGGTTTTGAAGTCGACCCATTAACGCTCACTACCCTTATGAAGGGGTTGTGCCTCAAAGGTAGGACCTTTGAGGCACTGGACTTGCATGACCATGCTGTGTCCAAAGGGTTCTCCTTTGATGAAGTTTGTTATGGCACTTTGATCAATGGGTTGTGCAAAGTGGGCAAAACAAAGGGTGCCATTGAGTTGCTGAGGAAAATGGAGAGGGTTGGAATTAAGCCTAATTTGATAATGTATAATATGGTTGTTGATGGTTTGTGCAAAGAGGGACTTGTTACTGAAGCTTGTGGGTTGTGTTCTGAGATGGTTGGCAAAGGAATTTGTCTTGATATTTTCACTTACAATTCTCTTATTCATGGTATGTGTGGGGCTGGTCGGTTTCAGGGGGCGGCTAGGTTGTTGAATGAGATGGTAATGCAAGAGAACAGAGACATTTGGCCGGATGTTTATACCTTTAATATATTGGTTGATGGGTTGTGTAAGTTGGGGATGGTCACGGAGGCGAGGAATGTGTTTGGTGTGATGATTAAGAGAGGGTTGGAACCTGATGTTGTTAGTTACAATGCTTTGACGAATGGTTTTTGTTTGAAGGGTTGTGTGAATAAGGCCAAAGAGGTGTTTGATAGAATGGTTGAAAGAGGTACATCACCGAATGTTGTTAGCTATTGTACCTTGATTAATGGGTATTGTAAGGTTAAGATGGTCGATGAGGCCATGAGGCTGTTAATAGAGATGCATAAGAGGAATTTGGTTCCAGATACAGCGACATATAATTGCCTTTTTGATGGTTTGTCGAAATCTGGGAGAGCCTTGTTTGAGTGGGATCCGGTAGAGGTGATGCGTGTGAGTGGTCAAGCACCGGATTTGATCACTTACAATGTGTTGTTAGATGATTATCTCAAACGCCACTGTCTTGATAAGGCGAAGGCGCTTCAGCACATTGTTGATATGGGAATTTCTCCAAATATTCGTACGTATAACATACTTATAGATGGTCTTTGCAAACGTGGAAGATTAGACGCAGCTAAAGAGATTTTTCAACTTTCTTCTGTGAAAGGCTGTGGTCCAAATATCCGGACTTATAATATTATGATCAATGGGCTCTGTAGAGAGGGATTGTTTGATGAAGCAGAGGCCTTACTTTTGGAAATGATAGATAATGGTTGCCCTCCTAATGCTGTAACTTTTGATCCCTTAGTTCGTGCTCTACTAGCAAAATAATTGGAATTGTTAGGACCATCAAGATTTTTTATGATACAAACAGCTGCTGGGAGCTTTGTCTCTAGAAAAAGGATATGACAAGGTTAGATACTTCAGTGCTTACTAATGTTATTTTGATACTGTTCACAGCAGAACACATATATTAGAACGAAGTAAAAGAAAGAAACAAGCATCCGTGTCATGATAACTGTTGTAATGGCATTGCTAGCAAGTTTCTTTATATATATCTGGTCTTTGTTCATTGTAGACTTAATTATGTTATTTTATCTTGGGTCTCTCCAACTTCAGCAGCCTATATATAATACTTTCTCCTCCACACTATGCAATTTATATATATCATGCTGGTGCTTATTGATATTCGCACAGCTTTCATTATAATTTGTGGGAAATCTACCGCTGTATGTTTTTGTCTGTAAACTTGTATGTTATTGTAATTTTTGTTTTATTCTAATGCTCCTCTTTGGTAATGCTAGAGAATTAAATTTTAAAAATATACGAAGATTTATTTTGTCTGATTGTAATTTTATGTTTATGGAAGTCCCTGTCAGTTTAACTGTATTCTTATCATAATTGAACATCTTAATTTCTGTTTTTGTTTACTTGAAACGCTATGAACTTACAGGGCCCACGTATGGATACATTTTTCAGGTGACATTGTTTTTTATATGGGGCCTTACCTGCTTCAAGGTTAGAACCTGTCTTTTCACTTTTATAATATCTATAGTAGTCCAATGAGCATCTATCGAGAAGACCTCTTATAATTTCCTTACCTGTTCCATACGTAACATTTGCCTTTTCCTGGTCGTACATCAGATTACTCCGGATTCTGTAACGAGAATGGATGCAAATTTGCATGATCTGTTTATATATGAAGCATTTTTGTATTAATATCTTCTCCTTCTAGTGGTGAGTTGGGGGTTTAATTCTCCTGTATATGTTTTACATTGTTCACAATTTTTATGGAACTTTTCTTGATGGTTTTTGTTGTTACTTCACTGAATACAGACTATGATGGTTTGGCTTTGGGGTGTAAATATGTGGTTATTTCTACGATCCACTGTCAGCTATGCCAAGGTCTTTGATCTTGATCAAAACCACCTTACATACAAAGAGACATGGAAGATAGTCAGGTTCTTTGCTCAGCCTTCATTTTAGAGAAAGCATTATTCAATGCAAAGTGGAAAGTCAGTCATTATTTTTAAAATCAATATTTCAACCATAAGTTTGTCTTTATCTGGTTCTTTTAAACTTACTGGTAATCAAAGTAATAAGTGCTTATACACTTAAAAGCCAAGTTAGCCTTTGTATGGGTTGTCAATAGTAAAATATAGAACAGTATTTGTAGCGGGACAGTAGAAGGACTCAAAGTTAGAGAGGGGAGAGAAAGAGGATGTTGTTAGAAACACACTTTGCTCTAGGCGTACAATTGCATTCATACTAATTTGCAAGTTAATATCTCCATTCCAAATCAATAATATTCCCCCAGCAATCCAGCATTTGTTAGCATGTCAGATAGAATAAACAGTCAACTATGTCTAACATATCAGAAGAAACCCCACAAGATGATGCATCGGTATTTCTTGTGCCCATCATTTGAATGGAAAACCCTGCTGCCAAGACCTTGTAGGTGAACTATGCATTCTGCAAGTTAATCTTCATATTTTAGGAAGGGTTTGCAAAGTATATTCAGTTTCTCTTATAAGTGCATCTAATATCCATCTGCTTTATTATGTTTTATTGTACTTACTGATTATACCATCCTAGTCACAATAGAGATATGGAGCCTTTTTCGTGAAAAAGTATATAAGACATGAACTTACCTTTTAATTCATATGAATTAAATATGGACTTTATTAACGTGGATAAATTGAATGTGAAGTTATGTTGTTCTACAATTTAGTTTATATATACACAACTTTTTGCTTTTGGAGAAGCCTATTTAATTTTGACTTCATATTGTCTTCTCCCTAATTGTTTATTGTGAAATTTATCCAAACAAATTTACTCCTAGCCCCACCTCTCCAACCCGGGTTTCTGCATCAACTCTACTGTCTCAATTTTTCAACAGCATTTTACTTCCAAGAAAGCTTATGAAAAAGCTATTGCTGATTTTATCTGAAACGGTTCTTCCTGAAACCCCTTTCAAGTTTCAAATGATAGTATATGATTTTAATCCTTTTTCAAAATTATTCCCAAAGAAGTAATCAAAATTTGGGCACAACAGATTATTTGTTTAAGCTGGTGCTACATTGCTCATGTGACAAAACCAATTGGTAGTGAGTATGTCTCCTTATAAGGGAATTTATACATGTATCTATTGGAATAATTTGTTCACATTTTCTTCTATTATAATCAGGTATAAATGTTGTGTTTGATGTCAACCCAAGATCCAAGGGTTGGTCTCTACACATTCCTTGATCAGTTTAATCGGGGTATATATACAAATAATTTGTTGTGTTGCATGTTTTTCTGATATATTTTTTATCTGTAAAATCCATACTTGAATTGATCAAGATCTGTAATTTTTCTACATGGGGCCATTCATCTTTTAGTGTTTGTTGAATTGGTTCTTGGATCATTCTACCATGGTTAGTGTTTCGGTTGAATTGGTCCGAGGGTCGGTTGTCCTTCCTTACTCTGCTCTCTTTTGATCTTCAATCCTCTCCGAGAACGCGGATCCACTCAATGGGGTGGTTGACTACAGAAGACACTCTGACGATCAAGTCAGATATGTTTATCAAAGAGGTCTACAGATTTATTAGGATAAAAAAGATCATTGTACCTGGACATCAGTTGTCTACCTTATACAAGGCTTGTGATAACCACGTCCATTTGATTAACCAATTGGTAATATATTTTAGGTAATCAACCTAATAATTAATCATTAATGCCAAATATTGTAGAGCATAAGACAATCGACCTATTAGTATCTGCTTAATGACAATAATTTCGATTCGATTATATTCATATAGTACATAAGCCCACTAAAGTCCGAGAAAGCTCTTATTAAAAGAGGTGTGTAGGATTATTATGAGCTTTAAAAAGGTCGTCAAGTTGTGTATCGAGGGGGTTATCTCGTTGCTTTAAGTCTTTATTGCTCTATGTACCGAGCGGCGAACTCTAGGAGTTCTCTTTGGATCTGTTTCTTAGACTGAACAAAAAATGCTAAGAGTTCTCTTTGAAAATTTTTTCTCTGCAAGAGATTTTCACTACAAAAAAATATGCTTTTAAATAAAGTAAACGCTTCAATATTTATTTTTATAATGAAAAAGCATGGAACCTGACAAAGCTGAGCCAGTTGAGTAGTTGACTGATAAGAGTTCTTTTCGAATTTCCTGCGTTGAGCGGGGGGATTTCTGAAGCCATTTTTTTTGACTTCCCCCAAGCGGCTTGAGGCAGGGAGTCATTTTCTTACTTCCTACGTTGAGCGGGGATTTCTGAAGTCATTTTTCTGACTTCCCCCGAGCGGCTTGAGGCAAGAGTCATTTTTCTGACTTCCTGCGTTTGAGCGGGGATTTCTGAAGCCATTTTGACTTCCCCCGAGCGGTCCTGAGGTGGTAGGAGTCATTTTTCTGACTTCCTGCGTTAAGCGGGGATTTCTGAAGACATTTTTCTAACTTTCCCCCGAGCGGCTTGAGGCAGAAGTCATTTTTCTGCTTCCTGTGTTGAGTGGGGATTTTTTGAAGCCATTTTTCTGACTTCCCTCCGAGCGGCTTGAGGCAAGAGTCATTTTTCTGACTTCCTACGTTGAGCGGGGATTTCTGAAGCCATTTTTCTGACTTCCCCCAAGCGGCATGAGGTAGGAGTCATTTTTCTAACTTCCTACATTGAGTGGGGATTTCTGAAGCCATTTTTCTGACTTCCCCCCGAGCGGTCCTGAGACAGGAGTCATTTTTTTGACTTCCTGCGTTGACGGAGATTTCTGAAGCCATTTTTCTGACTTCCCCCCGAGCGGCTTGAGGCAGGAGTCATTTTTCTGACTTCTTGCGTTGAACGGAGATTTTTGAAGCCATTTTTCTGACTTCCCCTCGAGCGGCTTGAGGCAAGAGTCATTTTTCTGACTTCTTACGTTGAGCGGGGATTTCTGGAGCCATTTTTCTGACTTCCCCCAAGCGGCTTGAGGTAGGAGTCATTTTTCTGACTTCCTGCGTTGAGCGGGGATTTCTAAAGCCATTTTTCTGGAAACTTCCCCGAGCGGTCTGAGGCAAGAGTCATTTTGACTTCCTGCGTTAGCGGAGATTTCTGAAGTCATTTTTCTGACTTCCCCTGTGCGGCCATTTAACCTGACCAAGTTGAGGTCTGAACCGTCTTGCACATAATATTTGATAATTTAAAATTAAGAGTTGTTAGAACCTGACAAGGTTGAACACAACTCTAACCATCTGTGCATAATATTTTATAATTTAAATTAAGAGTCGGTAGAACCTAACATGGTTAAACCAGCTATGAAGCATTCCTGTGCATAATATTTTTATAATTTAAAAATTAAGAGTTGTAGAAAGCATGACAAGTTGAAAGCGTCTAAAACCATCCTGTGCATAATATTTATAATTTAAAATAAGAGTTGTAGGACATTAGATGCAAGTTGGAAGACAAGCTCGAAACCTGCATAATATTAATATATTAAATTAAAATTAAGAGTCGTTAGACTGCAAGTGAGCAAGTGTTGAACGCAGCTTTTGTGAACCCCATCTTGTACATAATATTTTATAATTTAAAATTAAGAGTTGGTAAAACTTGATAAGGGTTAACGTAGCTCATAAACCATCAGTGCATAATATATTTTAAATTTAAAATTAAGATGTGGTAATTAAAACCTGACAAGGTTTTGAACGCTTGACACAGCCTTGTAGCATATAGGTTGGAATTTTAAAATTAAGAGCGTAGAGAACTGGACAAGGGTTAAACGCAGTTGAAACCATTGAGCATAATATTTCATAATTTTAAATTAATGAACGCAACCTGAAATCATGTGCATAAATATTTTATAATTTTTATAATTAAAATTAGAGTGGTTAGAACCTTACAAGGTGAACGCACTCTAAATTATGCCTGTACATAATATTTTATAATTTTTAAAATAAGAGTTGGTAAAAACCTGACAGGTCTGTGCATAATATTTTTACTCACAAAAATATGAGTAAACACCAATACTAATTTGGAAATTATAATGGAAAAATCTAGAACATGTCAAGGTGTGGGTATGTCAAGGTTGGATGTAGGCTGAAAGTTAACCGAAAGTTATAAAAAAAAGACATGCACTTGAGGATATTATAGAAATAGGTTTTACTTTGTTGCAAAACTGGTGTTGACCGAAGTAGCGATGTCGAGGATGAGCGCAACGCGTCTGATTCTTGTGGCAAGCATGAGGATGGACGCTGGGCCACGGGCGCACAAAATGTTTCGGTTGAAGTGGTCGAGGGTCGGTCGTCCTTTCTTACTCTGCTCTCTTTTGATCTTCAATCTCTTCGGAACATGATCCACGCCAAGGGTTGTTGACCTGCAGAAGAACTCCGACGCTCAAGTCAGATATGTTTCATAAATAGGTCTATATTTTATTAGGATAGAAAATGATCATTGTACCTGGACATCAGTTGTCTACTTATAAGGCTTGTGACAGTCACGTTCATTGATTAACCATTAGTGCAATATATTTTAGATAATCAAACCCAATTAAGACAATCTGACCTATTAGTACTTGCTTAATGACAATCAATTCCGATCGGTATACTTCATATAGTACAGTTAGACTTAGATAGACTGCTCCAACAACTGATACAATGTAGCTTAAATGTCGGAAAAACAGTATACATGCATGTTTCAAATTAAATTTGTAAATTTGTTGATATTGAAATGGTTTATTTGGTGTTGTTTATTGCATGAAAAAGTTGCCAAAGGAGTAGTGTTACTAAGAATTTGTTATATTCTTTGTTAACCATTCATGAACAATGGACTAAGAATTATCTAGTTAATATATTATGTATATGTGTATATCGCGTAGTTTAAATATACGGGATGAATCATATAAAATGATGGAGAAATTATGAGAATGTCAGGTAGTAAAGAAATGAGATGACTTAAATGGAGAAAAACATTGGAGTTATTTGTGGGTGTGTGCGAATAAATTGTGGAGTGTAGGAAGTAAATGCCTAGCGTGAGCCACTTTAAAGAATAGATCTAAACAACTTCTTTTTGCACCTCCATAAATTTCCCTTTGCGTTCCATATAAAAGGGATTCATTTTTATCTTTTCTAAATTGTGTAATTCGAAAGTTATTTTTTATTTTCAGATTACACGTCTCAAAAGCTAACCATGACTTTTTATTGTGTATTTCTAAAAATTGAAAAAAGTTAAGAAAAAAAAGAAGGATTTCTAGAAGACAAAAAATAGAAAGAAAAAAAAATGAGTTTTTTTTATAAATTAAAATCAATCAATGTACAAGTTAAATTAAAATCAATTCATGTACAAGTTAATTTTTTTATATATAGAAACTATGAGAGTTTTTAAAATTTAGCTTATTAAATTTGAACTTATGAAAAC